ATAAATTCAGTTAAAGGAATTGGTGACCGAATTCTTCGATCTAGGTTAGTTCGGTTTCGGTCTATTTTGCCTATCTCTTACATATCGTATCTTGTCTTACCAACATTTTTCGGGTTTTAGATGCTTCTTTTCAACATTAGTAAACATGTTCACATGCTCTTAATTAATTTGAAGACGTATATGACGTACGGCACCACAGTGATACAACTCGCATATTCTCGATCGGAGCAAGGAATTAACACGGGCCTCACGCGATGCAGAAAAACAATGGCATTATCAGAGCAGAAACCACATGCACATGGCCTAACCAACCGCACTTTAACATTTAACAGTTGGAAGTACGATGAACAGACCAACAGAATCATCATCCACTGTCTAACTGCAGTTAAAAAACTTAAAACATGCATTCTGCATCTTGCCAATTGTTGCAACTTGCAGCAATAACATAATTAACTACCTCTGCAACCCTGCAGGAATTATATATATATTGGGGCATCGAGCAGTAAAAAACTTAGCAGAAATAACCCCAGCCGATAAACATGGTGAGTAGTATATCATTGGAGTGGCCCTTCCTGCCGGCAATCAAGCTGATGTAGGATCTACCTTGGCTAGTGATCAGTGAGAAGGACACTGTCAGCTTGCCTTTCTGTACGGGCTGTCTCTGTCGAAATATCTATCATTTTTTTGGCCACTTTGGTTCCAAGTGATGAACAACTAACTGAACATGTCACGTGATGAAAAGAGCTCTTGTTGGGGTCCTTGGGGCCATGCTGAAATTGGATTATCCCATGGGAACCATTGAACTTTTCTTTGTAGGGAGGGGGGGTACACGTACACCAACTAGTCCACTGCACATGCAGGTATTGACAAACTGCACTGCTCTATGCACAGTGTCATCTTCAGCGGAAATGCATTGAATAGTTTGCATCTCTTTTGTGATCTATGAGCCTGTTTGGTGAGTATAAGATTATGAGAAGCAACTGATTGGTAGCCAGCTTCTGAAAATCTGAAAAAGCTGGGCTTCTCAGCTTCTGGTTTCTAGTTTATTTTTTGGATTCTACAACTACAACTTCTCAGAATCTGGACCAAAATCTAGACTGTTTCGGGGATCTTCTGATTCTGGGAGAAGCTGCAACAGCTAGAAGCTCCCCCAAACAGGCCCTATATATTCCTTGATCATCAAATGCCTTGAATGGTCAATATCTCTTTGCCTTCTTTTGCAGAGTAACCTCTGTGTGACTTAATATATGCATTTATTTGTTTTTTAATCTTTCACTAACAAAAAGTTATAGATATAACGTTTCCACACTTATTTTGAGATTTGAAACTTTTAGCAAACTATCACACAAGAAAAATTCATGTCATTACAAACGCACCATCTATTGTCGCAAGGCAACCCATTCTATATTCTGATCTTCTAGTGTTGCAAATTAAGTTATACCAAGGAAACTAATTGCTTTGATACTCACTCCATCCCTAAATAACTGTAGTTTTAATTAGCTAGTTAAAGACATATAAAGCAAGAGATTAAAAGACTACTATGCCCTTCATTAACACAGAGATAAAACAAAGAGGGAGAGACAATGATGAGGATGAGAGATTACTGTTGGTTCAATGGCTAGAGACGAAAAGAAAGATGAAATAGTATTAAAGAGGTCTAGTGGACCACTACTATGAAACAACACTTATTTAGGGTAATTTTTTAAGTTAAAACTACACTTATTTAAGGACGGATCGAGTACAATCTGCTTCAGAAATACTCCAACAATAGTTTTTTTCAAGGTTATTATTTGCAAACACTACCTGAACAATTCCCCTTTTTATGTTTGCATCTCTCCCTAAGTAACTAATTCTTGTTCACCCTAATTCAAAATTTTCAATAATCACCATTTTTTATGAGTTTTGAATTTTAAAGCATATATATATGTGAAACACAATCCAGTATGGAACTCGTCCAAGTTTTTTTTCAAGAAAGGATAATTGTAAGGTATGCCAAATTATAATGGACCATCCACTGAAGATTACTTATACATTTTCTCTTACTTCATATAGGTGGTAAGATGTCATTCATTCACTTTTTTTTGACGTTAGCATTCATTCATTCACATTTGAAGTCATTAATATATATTATTGCACTCCAATTATGAATAAAAATATGTTATATTTTATGTTGCAAATCGAACTATATAAAACAAACCAACAAATTAACAATTTGAATTAAATTTAATTTCAATGTCTATAACATAATTTGAAATTTATAATTGAAATTTTTATGTAATTAATAATTTTCAAATATATTTCATTTATTTTTCATATGTGGCAAATATGGCAAACATTTATGTATATACAATCGGTTCTTCACACACAATTTATTTTTCCATGTTTTCTATATTAGTATAAATACTCATTATAACCATAAATATAAGAAATTTTGGGGTTCAAATTTTTTCCAAAGATATTAGGGATTCCAAATAGTACTATTTCCTCCACCCAACCACACATATCTTGTTTAATTTTCACTCAATTTCACTTCCAATCATTCTTCCGCTCTCCGTGTACTCCTTGTGTAACTAGGGGCACTATAGTCTTTTTCCTTCATTGTTAATCTATCTAATAAACTCCATAAGTAAGAAGTAAAGTATAACTTTATTGGATACATTTGAGAATAAAACTCCAGCCTTCCATCGAAATATAGTCCTAATTAATTACTCATGGGCATTGCTTGTTTTGGAAGATTGTATGCATCCATGATTAATTTAGGAAATATAATTATGTCAATAGATACTTGGCATTTTTGCTATCATGTATTAAAGGAGGGAGATAATATGTTTTTTTTGTTAAAAAAAGAATGAATAATCAACTATTGTGATTTGTCATGGTCATGTTACCTCCATAGAGGTAAGATAGAACATATCTAGGGCTGGGACTGCCTGGTTCGTTTAAAAGGTAGAAAAAAGGACATCGGATTTTATGTCAGTTGTTCTAGGAAACTTTGTACTTTTGCTAAAGGGGAACCACAATCTAGATTGAAAGTATGTCATCGAAAGATTGGACCAATCTTAGCCACACACGTGGCACAATCGGTTCTCTACATCTAGTAGATGTGGTAGATTTGTGAAAATAAATGCACTAGGTTACACAAGACACTAGGATAGATGCGGCGGTTGCGATTAAAGTTGGACCATTCTATAACAACCAATTTTCCGCATGCTCCCTCATCATAACCCTATAGTTGCCGTGATGCCCACGCAATCATAACCCTAGGATTGCCGTTAGGCCCACGCAACATAATCCTAGGTTTCCCATAAGGTCCGTGCAACTTAACCCTAGGGTTAACCAAACTATTCCTTTAATTTCCTCTACATGGTTCTCATCTTTGTGAGATTGTTGTGAAAGGATGTTGACACTTTTGCACTACTAACTGTTTGTTTATATACTCGTATATATTTAGGATCCCATGTAGAGTTGATGGGTTTGACCGGGGCAAGTGAGTTATGGAAGTAGAAGGGGATCAACCTCACATAAATGGGTGATCGGTAGGGTGCGGTTGGGTCTCTATTATCCCACAATAGATTGCTTCGGGGCTGCCTATACATTTGTGGATAAATTTTCTTCTTAAAATTTGATAAATGTAATATAATATAATCGTGGTGTAATTACACTGTAACTTGCATGTTACTACGATGTAACTTACAAAAAAATATCCCTTCGTAACATGCTATTTTTATGAAATGGAGGTCGTGGGACCGATTCATCCGATATGTACGTGTGCTATGATTTTTTTCCCTTCCTCACACAAATCTTGAGACAAATCTAATTAACGGTTTAAAATTATGTGAAAGTTACATACAAGTCAAATTTTAGTTACATATACTTTATCTGTTTCATATTATAAGACTTTCTAGCATTGCCCACATTCATATATATGTTAATGAATCTAGACATATATATGTGCCTAGATTAATTAACATCTATATGAATGTGGGCAATGCTAGAAAGTCTTATAACCTGAAAAGGAGGGAGTAAGTTATACACTATGGCTGTGTTGTAACTACATCCGTCATTTTTTGGGGAGAAAATTTGTCAACAAATATATAGCAAAATTGTTTGTTTCTACGGTCATTGTTTTAAAAAGAAAAATAACTCACTACTCCACCTTCCTGTAGTTGCACAACAAAGTTGTCACTCCGTCACCATCGATGTCGAAGGTAATTCATGCTAGTTATGGTATAACATGAGGGCTATGTTTTGCCACGCCACCAACATTGGCAATGTGACATGGCCAGAAATACCATCATTTTGGAAATATATATGTAGATGTTTTACTCATATTAAAGGATTCAAACAAAACATGTGGGGGGTAACTGGGCCAGATTGAACGGTCAGTTCAGACGAGCTAGCTTTTATACTCGTCTATCTAGATTCATATTCATAGCGTCATAATCTTGTGCTAGGTTTGCTTATTTTTATACGGAGGAAGTAGTAGCTAGATGAGAACCCAACCAGAGATAACATAAGGAGAAAAAGAAGATAATAGAAAAACCAATCAATGATTAGGGAAAGAAGCAGGAGACATCCTCACCTAAGCGCACATGGATGCAAGCGATCGAGCGAGCGAGCGAGAGAGAGAGAGAGAGAGGATCGAAGCGAGACACATCGTGCATGGCATCCACACAGCGATAATCGAGCGGATTGGACCAAAGTACGAGCCCGCGTACGTACGATCGACCGGTGGATCCACGCACCGGCGGGCGCGCGCGGCGGACGGCGGAGGCGACGAATTGCATGCGTAGTCGCGTGGTCTCTGCAGGTCCACCCGCCCAATCATTCATCCATACTACATGCGCGCCACTAGCTAGCACACACCGATCTCTCTCTCTCTCTCTCTCTCTCTCTCTCTGTCTCTCTCTCTCTCTGGCAAATGGCAATGGAGGCAGCGTGCACGTGCAGCCACTGTGAGGCGCATAACATGGCTGCGCGCCTCGCTTGTCTCCCGGATCTTGCCCCCCTCCCGCTTCCGATTAATCAGCTCTCAGCTCGCAACGACATCATCATCACCTCCATCATCATGCTTTGCTTGCTTGCTCTAGTTAATTAATTAATAATCATTATCAGATCACCCGGCTAGCTCGGCTCTCTTCTTCTTCAATTCCCTCTCCTTGCCGCCTGCCACAGTATATATAGAGACTACAAGCTCCAACGCCATGGCTCAAACTGTTCGTTTGCAGCTGGTAGCTTAATTTTCCTTCGCATTTCACACTTTAATCCCCTGCGAATCCTCACGTACACTCGCTTAGCCGTGGATATATTCACATACAGATATTGCACTGTTGATCATTTCTCTGTCGACCCCCTGCTCCTGTTCTTGCCTAGCTTGCTCTTATATATGGCCGGTTCATGGGTGCGCACCATCACGTCGCCGTTCCGCAAGGTGTTCGGCGCGCAGCCGCACAAGGACGGCGGCAAGCGGCCGCAGCAGCCAAACTCCGGTAAGCTCTCAATACTCACAGTTCTAGTCTGTCAATCTATTCAAATCTTACTGAAAGCTGCATAAGGAAAGAAATTAAATCTTACTTGATTCTGTGCAGGGATGATGGTGCAGCACGTCGTGGTGGACGCCGAGAGATCGAAGCTGCACGGCGAGGTGATGGCGTGCGCGTACGAGGACGTTCAGGTGATGTGGGATATGCTGGACAAGGCCAGGATCCGTGAGTTCAATAGCAGCTAGCTGTTAATGCCTTGATGGATGGTCGTTGGTCACCGATCAAAATTATGCTTCTGTTTGATCAAATTTCAAGAGGATACATCGAGCATGAAACCGGTGTATATATAGCAAGATCGATGGTAATCTCTTCTTGGCCGTGCCGATTGATCGACTCCATTCATTTCGGGCTTAGTTTTGATCCCTGTCGGTGATGATTTCTAGCTACCTGCGGATCCAATCGTCATGTCGTCGCGTCGCAGTTCTGTGTTTGGTATGTGCAGTAGAAAGCTAGTATAGCTTTTGGTTGGTAAATCTCTGCTCGACGGACGATGTGAGAATCCCCATTGGCACTCTTTTGGTTGAGGTGCTGAATTGGAGAGATGTATATTTTTGTCACCCGCTGGACCTGGAATCTTTACCATTTCAACCAACTCTCTCTCTCTCTCTCTCTCTCTCTCTCTCTCTCTCTCTCTCTCTCTCTCTCTCTCTCTCTCTCTCTCTCTCTCTCTCTCAGAAATGGTATCTCTCTATAGCTAACTACTAGTTGGGAGCCATCAAGATCTGAGGTCTGTCTCAATAATATGTCTATTATATTATTTAAAACGATGTAAGAGTTGCATATCGGATTCAACGGTACTTTTTAAATAGCTCTATCTACGTAAAATTGCGCGGGAATATCCACAATACAATTCTATTTATAGAACTAGAGTCGTAGATAGAGTAATTAAATAACATATTAAATTCTACTTCGATTCAAATAACCCCACGTAACTGATTTGTGCGGGAAACTTGACTAGTACTATAATATATGCAATATATATAGCTTCTAGCATGCATATTTTTTCGTGGAATATTTCATGAGGTAACAAAGTCTACAAGGACATGGTGCTGTGTCAGCACTCTTTGTTTTTCCTTTAATTTATTATTTTTCTAAGACATTATATTATCTGAATTGAAACTTTGTAGTTTTTAAAACCAAAGATTATTTCTGTATAGAAAACAATTTTTTCTCCATAAGTATTGCATTATCTTTGAACAATCCTAGCTCAATCCTTTCCTAGGATATTCCAAGTATTTAAAATCAAGATTATCCTTAGTTGCGCCTGTTTGGGGGCCGCTCTAGCTGTGGTTGATACAAATTGGGATGTGTTTCGCGCACCAAGTTCAAAATACTTTAGAAGTTCTGTATAAAATTACTAGGTAAAGGTCGCCTCCAACCCGTTACAAAGAAAAACCAGTTGATATACCCGTTAACGTTGTAACCAACAAGAGAATGTTTTCACAAAAAGGTTTCCGTGGTAGAGAATGCGCAATATCCTAGTTCTGCCTGCTGGCAATTTAAAGTGTTATCATAATTAGACCAGAGCGACATAGCTAATGTCATACTACTATTACACCAAGACAACTCATAGACATTATTGTGTCACAAATAATACATTTACATCCTATTAACATAGGGCTATATATATTATTGCTTCTGTACAACTGTAGTCCTGTTTACTATTGTCCATCTAAATATTAAGACATTTTGAGCTGATGAGAATTGATGGAAACAAACTTTTCTGAGAACTTCTGAATTCAATCGAACCCCCTGGAACCATATTCAGCCTTTTCACTTTCTTTGTTTAACAAAGCAGAGAGATATATATAACTTCGACGCCATCACTAGTGATCTCTGTACAAGGGGACCGTAACAAATTAATTAAGCAATTCCAAAGAGTTCAAACAAACACGAAACATGGAATTAACTAGATTTATTTCCACAAAGTTTAGTCTACTATACAACAAATAGCTAGCTAATCCCTGGCATACATTTATGTGATTGGAGTCAAAATGGCATCACTTGAAAGGACCAACCATTATTAGAACGATTAAGAAAACATTAACGCCAACATCAATAGATACTCCAGTTAGAACATGGAACACCCTGTACCTGCACAATCTCCTGCACCCTCTCTTGGAAGCCATTCATTTGGCCATGTGTGTTCTATCATCATGCCAAGCATCTTGCTCCCCGTAAAGTCGCACGAAAAAACATTCCGCAGTTCATACATATATACGCTTCACAGTTCACATACATATATATATCTTGGATTATATTAGAAGCAAACAACACGTAGATCGGAGCCAATCATCACAAACATATACTCCCTCCGTTTCGAAATGTTTGACACCGTTGACTTTTTAGCACATGTTTAACCGTTCGTCTTATTCAAAAAAATTTTGTGAAATATGTAAAATTATATGCCTACATAAAAATATATTTAACAATGAATCAAATGATAGGAAAAGAATTAATAATTACTTAAATTTTTTGAATAAGACAAACGGTCAAACATGTTTAAAAAAGTCAATGACGTCAAATATTTCGAAACGGAGGGAGTATAAATTATAAACCAACAATTTCATTCATCAAAAGAAGGCATACATGCTGCAACAGAGAGTACAAAGACACACATCCATATATGCTATATGGATGTCAAAATGACACGACTCGATCGATGAAAAGATAAATTAGACTGTTCCATGCTCATGGAGCAGAGAAGATCTAGACGACGACGACGACGAAGACGCATGAAATACTAAGATAGATAGATAGATATGGGACCATGTCCCTGACCGAAATTTAAGTTGCAAATATTGCTGGAGAAAAACGAAATAGAGACGGGGCAAAGCTGCTGTTGCCGTGCACGAGCACGCGACGTAGCAGCTGGCCATGCATGCAGCATGCAGCACGAAGAGCTCTCCCTCTCCTTACATGGGAGGGAAAGATGGCCCCGCAGAATCGTCGTCCCAGGGACACCCGAATCCCGGCATGTCCGGGTTGGCGAGATCCATCATGTCAGGGCCCGGGGCGGCGGCGCCGGCGGCGCTGGTGCCGGCGCCACCGGTGTTGGAGGAGGAGCTGCTGGCGAAGGCGCTGTAGACGAGGGCGCCGAGGTCGCCGCCGTTCCTGGCGACGTTCATGAGCCAGGCGTTCTGGTCGTTGCCGCCATGGTTGATGAAGTGGTTCTGGTGGTGGTGGTGGTTCATCCCGTGGAACGCCGGCGGCGGCATAGAAGACAGCGGCATGGCCGGAGTAACATGAGTCGGCGGCGGCGCGAGAGGAAGCATTGGCGCCGGAGGCGGAGGAGGAGCGGGGAGCGCCGGCGGGGGAGGAGGAGGTGGGGGAACGAGCACCTGGCCGTCCTCGTTGGGGGCGCGGATCTCGACGAGGCGGTCGGTGATGACCTTGAGCCTGGCGCTGGCGAGGCAGTCGACGCTGGTGAGCTGCTCGACGGAGAGGGACTCGTAGGTGCCGAGGCGTCCCTGGAGGGCGTCGTGGAGGAGGATGAGCGTCTCCCGCTCGTGGTTGTCGCGGTCCATCTTGCGCAGCTGCTCCTTGAGCTTGCCGATCCGGAGGCGGAGGAAGTCCTCCTGGTTCATCATCTTCTTGCACTGCTCCATCTCCGGCAGCGCCCTGAACTGCCGCAGCACGTTCATGGCCACCTCCGTCGACGGCCACACCTCTGGCTCCGCGTCCCCCTCCCCGTACACCACCAGGCACGCGTCCACGTCGCACAGCGTCGCCAGCTCGCTCGCCTTCTTCAGCAGCCCGCGCCGCCGCTTCTTGAACGTCGCCCGCCGCGTCGCGTCGTTGGCGATGCGGTCCAGGACGATCTTCTTGCGAGCCATGGCTAACAGTAAACTACTACTACGACTTGCTAGCTATAGCTATAGCTCTACCAGATTGGTACGAGGTGAGGTGAAAGAAATGGGGGGGTTAGGGGTGGGTTTTATAGCGGAGGAGATCTGCATGGATGATCTGCCTACAGCGAGTCACCCAGGGTGAAAATGGAATGGAATTACCCTCGACAGATATGTGTGGCATTGGCACCGCGTGAATATCAGCGATGGTTAATGTCCAGCAAACTATAGCAAATCTTCCCCATTAATGCAATCTTCTCCATTAATGCACCCAATTCGATTGGTAAAAGTCTTCCATTTTCTCCTGAAATAAGTAAACACTTTCTACTTTTTCCTTGGTCCACTTGCTAATTTATTTATATTTTTAAATCAAAAAAGATTATTAATAATATTTTTTACAGGTATTCTTATTTTCTTCGCAATTTAGTACATACAAATATTATTTTCTTTTGCGAAATATAAATATTCTTAGTATGCACAAATAATCAAATAGAATAAGATCAACTTAAGAAAATAACCCTTGCAAAAAGGTGGATATATAAATGTAGAATATGAACTGATAATTTGTTCATGAATATTATAATAATAAGCCAGATGAATCATGTGTTTCTTCATTACACACTCGTATATATCCATCTACTGATTTATGTATAGCCAAGTTAAGAAACAGATATAGGAGACCTAAATGATCTCATAGTGATGGGGATTGGGGATATGATTGGATCATTTTTTAATTCTTTAGTAACGTAAGTTATCATATTAATTCAAACAATGAAATGATCAACCATTCAAGAGGATTGTGGGACGAAAACTCTGGCAATGTTTCATCGGTTCTCTATCGATGACATGTTTAGGCCCAACCCAACACGTAAGACTAACACATATGCATCATGCATTCGTCCCAATATTGCAACTTATGTAAGCCATGCAAATTAAATATCTGTTTAGAAAATTCTGAGCATGCATTTGATACTTATTTTTGTTCGACTGAACATTTTGATATTATATGTGTGGTACTAATACATTCTCCAAAGAGAGGCAATTGTGCAATAACAAGATTTTGCAATTTCCATGAATCGGCCCTTAAAGCTTTTTTCCTAAGTAAATTTTTTTATCTCACATTTTCTCGATGCTAAACTCTACACTACAAAATAGGAACACTTGTGTGATCTATTCTAAAATACTAGGAAATATCTTGCACAAAATTCTAGAAACAATTATTATTATGAAACCCTAAACACTCTCATCCCTGTTTACAACATTTTAAAATAAAGTAATAATCATTTGAAACCAACTAAAAACTCCCACAATATCTTTATGCAGCAATGTTCAATTAATCTTGCCATATAAACAATAATGTACGTAGCTAGTAACCCAATACGATTCACCTGCTTATCTTTTCATGATTAATTGTCAGCTATACTGATATTCATAACGTCTTATAACCCTAGCGCACATCCCTCCCTTGCAAGAATTTGCGCGCGTATATATCTTACTTTCCATAATTGCCATTGTAACTAAACATTTATTTAGTTTTTGTACTGTAATCGTTTTAGTCAACACATTTCATGACTCTTTTTAATGTTGTTCTAGTTTGGTAGATATATATACCGGGATATATTCAAAACAATAAATATAAAATTCTATGGTGAACGGATGAATATTTAATATCAAATATGTCCAAAACGATTAAAAAAATGGTAGTGTGCCCTATCCGCTTCCATGGTTCACAATTTTGGAACAAAATTTTTGAAATTTTTAGTACACATCAGCCCTTTTGGACGTGTATATGAAAAAAAAATATTTTTTAATTTAGCAAAAAAATGTTCATGTTCAATGAAAATATGTTTAAATTTCATATTTTGTATGAATGTTTTGATTGAAATTTCTATAATTTTAATGCCCTATGAATTATTTTATTCCAACACTCAACTGCAACTATTTTAACATCTCCATCTACAAGTTATTAGCACTCCAATAACTAGAGTAACTCTCCAACATTGAGTTATTATAGTTTATAAGATGTGTAAATTTCACAAAACCACATATATGTTGACGAAAGTATCGCTAAACTTCATGTTTCAGGGTGTATATCATAAAATTAAAGATTTAGCACCAAGACTACTAATTTAGGACATCGTATCACAAATCAACGGATTTAGTTTTGAAGTTATCAGAGACTGGATATTTTAAAGTTTAGATCCACAACACTATTATTTTTAAAGTTATTAAAGTTATAATTTTAATAAAATTGGTGTTAAATCTGTAGTTTTGTAACACAATACCTTAATTCTCTAGTTCCGTGAACAACTTGGTGCTAAATTTATATTTTTTTTATAGACATACTTAAATCTATAGTTTTGTCATAAATTGATCAAACTATCTATAATTTTGTGAAATTTACTCTCATATGATAGTTATAATACTATACTCTCACCATTATTTACTACAAATAGTCCCAACCACTCATATATAGCCCTTCTCAAGGATCCTATTCCCCTAGCATTGTGAATAATCTAATGGTGCCTTCTTCCCATTATTATATTGTGACAACCAAGAACTAATTTGATTTGCACGACAAACATAAAGTTAACAACTATTTAACAATTCATAAACACATTTTTATATCCAATTTTGAGTTGAGATGCAAACAATTAATTATTTTTCTTATTGGTACATAGTACGTGTTATGACAAGGACATGATTATCACATGTTCGTGCAAGAATGTATCAATCCACATGTACACCCACTAAATTTTCATACTTAGCATTATAGCAAACACCATGCTTGATTCGATGTTGGTCACCATTGCACATCATACATTCTATGGTTCCTTTGTACCTAGGAGTTTTATACATATTAGTCTATTTCCTTCTAAATTCATACAAAAATTCTTCGTTCCATAGCCATTACTTCTTCTCCCTATTTTAGTCGTCATGTGTCTCTTGCTATTTCAATCATGATGCATGTGTTTTGACTCCCAGTATACATTCTTTGCAATTTATAGTTCTAATTTTGTAGATATATTTGATAGTTTCTAAACAGAGTAAGAATAATTTTAACTACTTGACACATGCTGAAGAAAGTTAAGAAACTACAAATTAAAGTTTCGAGCCAAATTACTGTATCGTTTAGATTAAGTGAATTATGTTTGGCCTCCATTAATTCTAGGTAAAATTATATTTAGCTGAATTATGATGTAGGCAAAGTCGAGAAGTTCACAATGAAAAAAAAATGTTGAAAAGTTTAGACTGAATCTAGAAGAAAACTGAAAACAAATTCTATGTAATACACATGCACCTCAAAAGGACCATAATTTCATATCCTCCCATAATCCATGGTATATATCCATGTCTCAACCCACATTCTCTAGCATGCTCACTAATGCTTTACACACCCCCTCCCCCGAACTACCACAGACACACACACCCCACCCTAGATCACGTATATACATTTTGCTAAAGAAAATTTGTAATGACTAGCTAAATATACGTGCTTTGCTATGGGTAAGTATGAATTATATGCTGCTAGTATTGTTTGGAACAAATTAATTGTGAGGCTTTTAGAATAACTTATCCCCTGCAAGGGTCTTTGCATAATAAGCTAGTATTTTAGAGATGAAATAACATAGAACAACAATATGTAGAAGAACTATTTAGAAATATGAAAGTACATCAGGGACTATTTGGTAAAAATATAAAACAATAGATTTAATGTGTGTGGCAGAATCAGTGCCACAACCATTGTCTTTTTTTATTTAGACTAGCAAAATGCTCAATCTTTGCTATGGGCAGAAGAAAATAATCATAATATGTCATAGCAAAATAATTTTTTATCAAATATCTCAGTATCACTTGTTTACTATTTTGATTATCTGTTGTATCACTTGTATGAACCAAATGTTGGACTATTCCATAATATTAAAAAATACTAGGAGGCAATTTCAACGGTGGTTTACAATCAAGTTTGGATACGTAATTTATAATTAGCATGCAATTTTATTTGCAATCAACACATTTATAAAAAATGATCAACATGCTCAAGGAGGGGAGAGTGGCTCCTCGTCGACTGCTGTGGCTTCATCTTCAAAAAGGTAACCTGCTCAGCAAACAATGGGTTAACAACCAACTTTCCTAGTCTAACGTAAAGACGCAAAATCCTAGAAAATAGAGCGAAAAGAAAAGCAAAACCAGTGCCATAGGATAGGTCTTGATTTTTGAAGAATTTGGTGAAAGTTTCATCGAAATCCTATTTAAAATGAGAGAGATATGGCCTTTCAAAGATTTGAATTTGAATTAAAACAAACTAAATGAAAAACCTTACTGTTCTGCTATATACCTATTTTTGGAATTACTTTTATGAAGGAAAAAAATATTTTGCACCAATTACGAGGTGGGACCCACATCATTTTCTCTTATAAAGCAATTATATTTTTATAGAGGGAAACTCTGAGTCAACGACAGATTGACAGGTGGGGCCAGGGTCAACCTTTGATCTGGTCAACATGGGCCCACATTTTAGCGAAAGAGATTTTGAACATGGTTTTAAACACTTTTTATTAGTAAATGGGACCCACATGTCAGCCTAACATATTAACCAACTAATTAAGTTAATCACCTTCATTAATTTTAGAACAAAATCATTCTCTGGTGGAGCCCGCTGTCAGCCTCTCCCTCTCTTTCTCTCTTTTTTGGGAAACTATTGTGATCCCTCAAGACATGTCCTCTCGTTGTTTACATATTCACTTAAATGGTCATGAAAAAAATTAAGAAGATGTATTAAATTGTGATATATCACTCTACAGACATGCATGTTCAAATTCAAATTCTACATCTCTAAAAAAACAAATTTGACTGTTCGTTGAGAGAGGTAGAATTTGATACTAAAAACTTGCATGTCTGTGGAGTGGTATATCACAAATTTAATATATTTTCTTAATTTTTTTCAAAATTTCTTCGTAATCTTTTGAGTGACATGCAAACAACTGAGGACATCTCCTCGAGGGATCAAAATCCACTCCCCTTTTCTTTCTTTCTCTCCTCTCTT